CCAGCTCTCCGGCGAGTCATCATCTGGTCCAGAAAAAAAAAAAAAAAGAAAAAAAGAAGCAGAGATCGCTGATTTGAGCTGAATGGAGGCCAGAGTCAGGCTTTGAGTTTAGAATGATGTTTATCAGGGGACACATCGTGCTGCTAAAGTCATTACGGAGTGAGTGAAAAGCGGAGCAGAGCACGTACATGTCCAATGTTCAACGTCAAAGCTCCTCTGTCTCTTCTCAGGCCTTCAGAAGTCTCCCTGTAGCGCCTGGAGGATTAGCGCCCGCTGGATGGGCCCTTTCAGCGCACATATAGAGTGACATCAAACAGGCTGAAGGATGAGCAGGACAAGCCGGAGAACAAGCACAGAAACATATGCTGCGTGGGATAAAGGAGCACTGTCCGGAACGCCATGTGATACTAATGTGCTGTGGGCGCTGGGATGGAGAAAGGAGGATGATAAAAGGCAGAGGTGAGTTTGAAACAGTGCACCTTTAATGTGTGCATGGGAAATACAGGCCTGTGTGTGAAACTGGGAGATCAGAGAGAGAGTTGTACTTTTCCGAAATCAAAACTATAAAGTTATTGTTTTGTGCTGTGTGATGATGGGGCATGTTTGACATAGTGGTGACACAGTTGTTAGTCTGTACATTAAACAGTAGGGGCTGCTATATGAGAAGTTTGTCCCTCTCCCTCTGAGGTTAATAGGAGCGTGGTGTGATGAACATGAAGTCATCAGTCACAGCTTCATAATGACAGAGCTAAGTTTGAGCCCAGAGTCCTGTAGAGGTCCATTACTCATGTTGGTGCAGATGTCTGCTGCAGGAGGGTGTGAGGGAGAGGGGGAAGGGGGGCAGCAGGTGGAGCTGTCTGTGAGCCCAGCTGAGCTCTAAAAGCCAGTGCTTAGCACCCACAGCTCAGTCATCTGGCCTGTGCTGTCTCCAGCAGCCTCTCGACAGCCCATTCCTCATCATTTAGCCCTTTTTGGCAGAGCCCAGGGCCCTTCTAATGGGCCGCTCTGAACGCTTCCAGATGTTTGTTTATTTGTTGTGCAGCGACTGTAAAACAGTTTACTCTTACTTTGGATGTGTTCCCACTGCTCCATTTTGGCTGCAGCCTGAGTCGCAGTGCGGATCAGCCCACATGTAATGAAAGTAAACTGGCAAACAAATGTGCGGCGCCCCCTGGGTGTCATCAGCAAGGAGCGCTTTGAAACCTGCCTTCCTCTGGGAGTCTAATAACAGTTGTGCACATTTAAGTTACATACATACAAAGTAGCTGGAAGCAGGCCCAGAAACACAAGATGAAACACCAGGGCTGGTACTGTAGCACGTCTCTGCACACTGCAGGAGAGTACAACAACAGCTCTTTCATTTGGAGCTGTCAGCGCTGAGGGATGGTCCGCTCACTGTGGATGGACTCTTTACTCTTTATACACACACACTAAACTTTTCATTAACATCCTGTGCATGCAGCACAATATATCAATCATGGGCGCACGTGGAGCGGTATAATTAGATCTATAAGAAGTCGCTCTTCAGAGGCATCAGAGCCGCGGTGACAGCGCTAATAAATAACACAGTGTTGTGCTCAGTGAGACAGGGCTGTGTGTGTGCAGGCTAAACATGTGTGTGAGACAGGGCTGTAGTGAGAGTGTGCAGGCTAAATGCGTGCTGAAGGCCAGTGTTCATGAAGACACAACTATATGTAGAGTGCATGTCTCACACATACATACACACAGACATACACACAGACAAACACACACTCACACAGAGTGGAGGTGACAGGCTGATGCTCCCCAGGCCTCTGCACAGTCCACTCCTGCCACAGTACTCCATTGTAGCTCACTTACAGATGTCCCCTCACCTCCGCCTCCTGTTGTCTCCCTCCTCTCTTGCCTTCACTCGTGTCTATCTGCGGCCCATCTGAGCAGAATGGCTGTACTTCATTGTGTGCCTCTGATAGGTGCTTGTCCTACAGTCGTGTCCTTGGACGCAACTCTATGTCTGGGCAGTGACCTGACAGGACTGCCCCTCCTCTGGGAGCTCCTGGTGCTTGTAATTACCTTTGACACTGCAGCTTTGGGGCGGATGCACAGGTGACGGGGAGGGGGCATGTGCACTGGGTAAGAGTGCTACAGGGAGGTGGTTTTTGGAGAACTGAGGAGTCCAGTGTTTCAGATACACTGGATATATGACAAGAGTTTCATTGTTCACAGATTGCAATAAAAAGTTTTTGATTCATGCAGATTTAAGTAAACCTGCATTTTGGTGCTCAGAAAATTGCAGTTTTCACCTAATCTGCAGGTTTCAATACAAAAATGAATGTACCTGTTTCTTAAAAATGTAAAATAAATACATTGTAAATGTAAAATGAATGCTCTACATACATAATATCTTATTACTAAATAACAAAAAGTATAAGTTCACTTTCTTATTATATCAAATAGAGAAGACAAGATACTAAATAATGTTCAAACATGAACAAGTGTCAGATTTTAGCTAGAAAAATTCAAGGAAGTCTGAAAACACCTCATTTTACTAATAATGAATGAAGATATTCTCAGATAAAGGAACAAAACATACAAAACAGAATAGCGATTGTCTTTGTAAGTAAATATCAAATGTTTTTGTCTTACTTTCCTTCACTGTTGACTCCAAAAGCATCACAAATTGCCAAGTTCACCATGAAAAACTCTGCTGTATTGAACACTAACCCACCGTGCACCATACTGTTCCACTGCACTTGTTCATATCCTAAACTCACCCCAGAAGCACTGTTTGCAATCGCCATGACAAACATTTTCTTTGTTTTAGCTGTGATTTTGCCACCAGCTCTACTCCCCCCTCTGAGAATCACAAGTGGAGGTTTGAAGAACATAAAACGCCGGAGTACGGGACATGAAGAGGAGTGGAAGGGCGAAGATGAGAGCTCTGTTATCTAAGGCCCCAGCGCTGCATCATAAAAATAACAAATTGAATGAGAGGCGGACGCACATAGTTGTATAGGAGGGAAGACATTTCACGTGACACCCGCTCACCCTTAAATGCACCCACTTCTAACTTATGTCCACATACTGTCCACAGGTCTATTTAGATACACTCTTATGGAGTGATGAGGCCTTGTGATTGTTGTATGAAGGGGTAAAACTTTATACTCTGTTGCTTTGGTTACTACCATAGTCAGTATAAAGGACTGAGGGAATGTGACCTGTAGCGTTCAGCTCCAGTCAGATGAAGCTCATGAGGCTAGCAGTTACAGGAGCAAATTTGAAGCCAAGGAAGAATAATTTATTTACCTACAAAATTGTGAAATAAAAAGACCAGAATCATGTAGATTAATACAAAAATTTTAAGACCAAATTGAGGAGGCTCACTGCAGTTACAGAGAGCGGGGGCAATCATTTCTGTAAAGTCAATTTGGGCTAGAGTCAGTGGAGCTGGAAGCGCCCCCATGCTCACTTCCTATTTGGAACGCGGTGGGTAACAGGTTCACTATGCCCATTTATATATATACTACTACATTCAAAATACTGACTTGCAGTATTCTAAAAGGAATATCAAAATGAGACCACTGTATGTAATCTGCATTTAATTATGAAGCATTTTTATCATATATGTTAGCATGCTAGTTGCTGTTAGGATTACTGTGACAGGAAAACTAAGAGCTGATAAACATAATAGGACAGTATGAAAACAAGTTTGGATCACTTCAAACTGTTTTAAATGGACACGTTCTGTTTTATATACGTTTTTAAGAGCGTAAAAATCAAGTACAGAGGCTTTTAAGCTCCTAAAGCGCTTCAAACATTAATATAGTCAATATCTCCAGCAGTGATCAGTCCTCCATGTGTTTAGCATCAGCAGAGACAGGAGCAGAGATGGATGTGTCCGGAACAGTTGTTATGAAGGAAACAACACAAAGAGGAGCTTATTGAGGAAAGCCCGACTTAACCTTTCACTGTTTTAGTCAATAAATTATGACAGGAGCGACAGGGTTCATCTGCACTGCCATTTAGAAGCACTGACAACTCCAATCACCTGATACAAGCAAAAGCAACTACATAAACACACGGAAATGTACACTGTATATTGTATTATGTTGCGTAATGTATTTTCTATACTGTAAAAAGTGCAGCCCAAGTTTGAGTTTTAAGAGAAAATGTGTTGATGGAATAATAATTTGGTATTGTATGCAGGAAAAATTGTGTTGTGATAAATAAAAAATAACAAAGCTGAATAGAAAGTATTTTATAAGTGATCATTTTATAATTAGTACTAACCAGCCCAAAATTGCTAGGTTTTATATTGATCACAACATTCTATACGCCAATAATATTTAATAGAGTTTGGAGGCAGCTAAAAGGTATATTTCTAAATCTTATTATCAGATTTTTAGAGCTAAAAGATTATACAAACGTAAACTGACCTCTGACCTTTTTCTGATCATGGTTTCTCTGATTATTCTTATCCAGTTGTGTGGTTTGCAAGTCATTTTGATCATTTAAAAGGTTTAGAAATCAGGTAATTTTGGTGTGCATGTGAACATAGTCACTGATAGATGACCAGGATTTTTTTTGTATATATGTATGTATGTGTATATATACGTGTGTGTGTATATTCTATGTATGTATTTATTTATAATTAAATTTTTTTTTGTATATGCCCATTAATAGAGGGTTTTGGGGGGAGGTGCAGGGTTTAAATGTAATGAAATGTGTATCCTGTATAACTGCAAATGATAATACTAAAAATTTGATCATAAAAAAAAAAAAAAAAAATGTGGTTCAACATTTGTGAATTTACCTTTTAGATATTAAAATGGGAAGTATAGTGTAATCAATAGACATCATCATGTTTTAAAATCTGAAAACAACCAATAGTTTGAATCTGTTACACATGAAATCCATACAGTAGACTACAGACACACATTACATACATACATCATGGGTTGTGGGTTGGGATCATTTGTGAAATAACTGATAGTGTGTAGTTTTGAGAAGTGACCCCTCACCTCGGTGATTCCTGGCGTCTCTGGATCCTCGGGGCAGAGGCGTGTAGGGCAGAGGGTTACAGTCCAGGGAGGCTTCACTCGATGGCTGCAAGATAAGAACAAAACTATCAGTATTTTTTGCCCCAGATAACAGTTTCATTAGACGTATAGGGTGAGAGGCAAGGCTGAAATTGTACAAAAGATTCTAGTGAAGGTGCATGGAGTTTAAAAATGACATCATGTTTTCTGTTTAAGAGAAAAACTCAGCTGGAGTATGCAGGGGTTGTGTGTTAAACATGTGTGAATGAAACAAAACACAACTCCAGGTATGTTTTGATGAGGAACATAGATCAGAAAATGGTGCAATATGGGCCCTTTAAGAATGCTGAAGTACAATAAAGAATATTTTTAATTATCATTGTCACTTCATCTGTGCAATATCAAAATACTGCTTATTATGAGTGCCATTTGAAAAGAAAAAAAAAGCTTCATTCATTATTTGTACAAGTATTAGCCACTATCACAACAGAGCAGAAATATAGTTTGATGGCCACCAATCAGACGTGAGGACAAACACTAATCGATGATCACCTATCAAATGAAAGTAAAAAAAAAAAAAAGAGCTCAAGAAAGACCAGAAGAAATGTGAAAAATAATTTGAAAAATATATTTTCATTGGACACTGCAATTACATGTCATAGCAACCAATCCACAGCCAAAAACAATCAAACATGCGAAGATAGAACTAGCATTCTCGAGCACTTCCTGATTTCACTTGCTGTTCCCAAACTTCCCCGCCTCCTGTGAACTCTTGTTTTTGGTTCAGCAGTTTCAGGGGCTGGTCTGTGTGTGGCAGGTGAGGATTTATCACTCCTCACACGGTGCGGACCTCCAGCTCGCTCCTGCTTTGATGCTCCGGCTCAACGGCACGGTGGCACAGCAGAGGTCCTAACCCCCACCCGGCCGTGACCCCACACACTGGTCAACGAAAGGCTAGCCGTCACTCACGCACAATGTAGGCCCTAGCGCTGGGGTCAACCTGTCACATAAATGCTGTCTAGAATTTAGGGCTCTGATAAACAGCGGCGTGGAGACAAATGTGAGTCAGAGCAGACATTATCAAGCAGGTCAAGAGTTTGTTGCATTGTTGTTCCTCTTCTCTCACTCTCAGGATGATTGAATAGGTAGTATGTTGACAAATCTGCAAATGCCATTATAAGGAAGGATGTCTGTGTTGTGTAGTCGAGATTATAAATAATACGACATGTAGATTTGAAGTAAACTACAAAACACTAAATTCTACCCCAGGATTGTAAATGATAATAATACAAGCCATAAATTCTGTCTTAAAGCAACATTGTGATTGAATCCTTGGAAATAGAAAGTTAAAGGTGCACTATGTAACTTTTTGGTTGGGTTCTATGCATATGACACCGCTCTACCTTACATTTATTAAATTACAGCTGGTTTTATAGCTCAAAAATGCCTAGAAAAACAGGCATTCTGACTGTGAGCAGGGTTGCCTCTCCACAGATCTGACCTCTAACTTGGTTTGGTCTGGTCTTCATGAAGATAGAAAGGTTTAATAGCATACCATGAGACATTCCAGACAACGCATCTTCATGAAGAAAAGCATTTGACATCAGAAAAGTTACACAATCCGCCGTTAAAGTTTAAATTACACTCTTTTTGAATTTATTTAAAAATGTTACTGTTTGTTTTTAAAGCTGTTAATGGCCTTGCTCCTCCTCCTCCTATTTGACTGAACCCCTGTTTGTCCACAGCTCAAACAGGGCCTTAAGGTCAAACAACCAGCTTCTATTGTAAATCCCTAGATCCAGACTCAAACACAGCAGCAAATTGTTTAGACATTAACTAGACCGAAGAATTAACCCAATTTGAGAGGTTGCCTATACATATGCATGACAGACAATTAATGAAGCACACATATTCAATAGCAAAAAACAAAAACAGTTAAAGTGTTGGCTCTCTTCTACTTTCTACTCCATTTAACCTGTTGAAAATACAAATTGTTTCAAGACTAAAAATGGCCAAATTGGGAAAACAAGTGTGAATATTTTTGCCAAAATCTTAAACACAAACATCTCAATTGTGTTCTAGCAAAATGAGCAGCTGAACCTTAGCCAGGCTGGCGTCACCTAGTGCCTCCGCTCAATTTCATTTCTCTCCAGCGACTAAGTCATTAATCGGAATACGCTAGACGATCTGAAAGAACCCTGGAAGAGCCATACATTCTGTGTTGGCAACGATTCCCGAGATCGAGCATTTAAAGCAGGAACAAAGAGAATGTTTTGTGAATTTTATCAAGGAAAAGACGTTCTGCCCTTCTTCCTACGGGATTTGAGAAAAGCTTAATATACCAGTTAGCCCTGTTAGTGGTGCATTACAAATGTCACGACCAAATAGTAGTGATTGGTTAAATTACAAAAAGTACCCGTCTACCATTAAGCCAACGAATTCTAATGCTGCACGGTCAGACGGTTTTGACGAAGTGAAACCGGCTGATGAATCAGGCTAGCTGAACTTGTCATAATCACAAAAACTGGTGCTTAAGATTTTAGAGTTTCCATTATCATTCAGCCTCGCCAATCATTTCTCATCTGAAACTATTTTCATCACTGCCCATCCATCTGTTAAAGTCTGGAGGACAAAGGCTCCTTCTATTCTGCGAGCGAGCGATGATGTCTGAGTGGGAGCAGACATTCCCAAACAGGTCAAGAGTTTGTTGCATTGTTGTTCTTCTTCTCTCCCTCTCAAGGTCCAAAACATCCTCTTCCTCCTGGTAGCCTTTTAGCTGCTGGAGCGGGCACTTTATCATGACACAGCCCTATCTGATGCCTTTGTACAAATACTTTCCTTTTCCTCCAGGAAGGAATCCACGGGGCCTTTAATCATCGTGGGAGACGCCACTGACAAATACATATTAGCTGTGGTTGCTAGCCGCATTTTTCCTGCTTTTATTGTTGCTCCTCTACATGGCCATGCATAACCTTGAGAAATGGCGAGGCCTGCACTGTTAAATGGAAACATATTCTTCACGGGCAAAGAGAGTGCTGTGAATTGAAAACGATCACATAATGTGCTCCCTGATAGCATCTCTGAAAGGCATTAAGGCTGGACAGCATGTGTCTCATATTACACCAAGAGAAAAATGGCTAAATAAGCGCGTGGTGAGAGCTTACTGCGCCCGCCACCGGACCATGCGTTTGGTGAAGAAATATTCGCTAATAGAAATGTTGTTTGTGACGAAGGTGGTGTGGCCTGTGCTGTTTTCCACACCTGCTCCAGAGTAGATTCAGCACAAACGAATGTAAGCACAAATTTGTACACGGCTCCGCTTTAAACTTGCACTGCGTAATTTGGAGATGGAGATTATATCATTAAACATATAAGATGCATTTATTCAATTATGGGTGTTTTTATTGCTCAAAAATACCTTTAAAAACATCCATTCTGATTTTGTGCATGGGGTCGCCTCTTCACAGACCTCACCTGTAAACTGGCCTGGTGGCATCTCCTTGCTTGTCTCCATGGAGCTGGAAAAGTTTAATGCCATACTTTGGGACAATGCAGGCAAAGCAATACAATCTCCATGGAAACAAGCAACTGGCGACCAAAAAAATCACACAGTGCACCTTTAAAATAATAATATTAAACCTGCTGTACCTGATTTTTTTGTCAAAGTAAAATTTGCCTGATGTAAATGGAGCTCTAAGTATCAAAATGAAACCTGTGTGCTGTCTATATCTTTTTATAATTTGACAAATAAGTAAGACTGGTGCACTGTTAGCATGCTAGGTGTCGTTAGCTTCTTAGTGACGGCAAAATTCTGCTCTGGCCTCTAAAAGTCGTGAAACTTGCTTATAAACTCAAAGCGGTGAATATTTCAGATGCTTGGAATGTAGGGCTGGATATCATTAAGAAGTCGCTGATACAATACATAGGTCATGGTGCGATACATATCTTAGGGTGACCATATTCCCGTTTGTGAAAACCCAGACACCTTACCGGGGGTGGGGCCTCGACATTGAGCTATTCTCACCTCGCAACCTGTGCACATGTTCTCCCACTTGTTCCAATCGGGCCAGAAAATGGAGAATTTCTTGTACAAGTCATTGTTAAATGCGCATTTGTGCTTCGGCATGTTGCAGATTGACCGACTGTTTGTGTCTGCTCGCTCCTTCTGAGTGCACAGAGAGCCTACGAGAGCCGCTCAGTTTAATGGCCCCAGTGAAAGATCATGAAAACCTGGACAGTTCCATCACTTAAAAAAAACTGCCCAGGACAGGACACAAAAAACTGACATGTCTGGGGAAAAACGCTAACATATCTTGATAGAGTGCACTTTCACTTCGATACATTTCAAAGGATTCAATACAGTTCAGAAAAACTTAAAGGCTAAATCACGCCTGTGTCACATAAATGAGTTTCCTTCCTCTAAACAAGCAACAAAACTGTAGCGCTGTCACGAAATATACAAAAAAAAAAAAAATACTCTTGGCGATATATTGAAACAGCATCTCACAATATCAGTACTGTTGACAATATATCGTACTCTTCTCCTTTTACATGCATATTTCCAATTACCAAATTTTACAATATCAACGTTTGACATTTCAACACAACATTTCAGTGGTTTGGATTTTTTCTGCCTATGTCTGTGTGGGCTTCTTCCAATACAAACCTAAAATGTGCACATGTTATTAGGTTCTTTTTTCAGACCTAGAGTTTTGTTTCATACCTCATTGGACTAAAATGTGCACAGTAGGCCAGTCCTCCAGCTAGGCACTAAGGTCAGGTTAGGGTCACCAAAGCTGCAATGTGGGTGCTCACTGCTCTTGAAAGTTTGCCCCAGCAGTATATTAAAGGTCCTATATTATGCAAAATGGAGCTTTGTGAGCTTTAACCCATCATATAATGTTACCTCCTCAAACAGCCCTTTAACTAATGGGTCAAATTTAATATCACTAATCTTCCAGTACTTCAACCATTTTTATTCCTTACTTAGTACCTTCGTTCTAGCTTAGCATCGCACCGCTAGACCAAGACCGCAGTTTATCCATTGTGCCAATAGTCTGTCAATGG